TTGGCGTCGTTCGTCCTCGGCAACACCACCTCTCGGTATTGCCGCACTCAGTTTTCCCGCGGCGGGACACGGCAACAGGCTCTCTCAACGGGACCAATGGACAGGTGATGCTGCAGGACGTCGAGGTGAAGGCGAACGGGACCCACGTCGAGGCGCAGACACTGGAGAGAGTGGACGTCGTAGGTAATCGTCGATCTCGCGGTGGTGGAAGCCGCGTAGCCCCAGCTGCCGGTACGGGCCTCGCCGGTACACGTGGTCAGCTTCCCCGCAGCGGTAACACAGCGGGCGTCGATCGGCCGTTTGCCAAACGTCGGTCTCCTGGGCGCCGGTTGGCCTTGCCGGACGTACTGACGTCGATCATCGAGGCGTCGGGGTACGCCTGTGCTGGTGCATCGCGTCGTCGTGGCGCAGGAGGTTGACGGGCAGCAGGTGGCGGTCGTCTGACCATGGCGGCGTAGGTCAGCGTCGGTTCCTCGGGGGCTGGCACGTCGACGGGAGTATCAGGCTGCAAGGCCCGCTGTATTACCTCGTCGCGCACGATCTCAGCGACTGACAGCGACGCCGGGCGTTCAGCAGCGGGGAGCACCTTTCGTAGCTCCTGTCGGACGACGTCTCGGATGATCTCTCGTAAGTCCGATGTAGTGGAGCCCAAGCAGCAGCTTGACGACGCGAATGCAACGACGCCAGGTAGTCGCTGGTAGTAGGAGGCTCGTACCTGTAGGGCACGTTCGATATTCGTGGCCTCCGTCACGAATTGTTAGACGGTCGACGGTGGGTGGTGTACAAGGACTCGAAATATGTTCTCCTTAACTCCACGCATGAGAACTTTCAGCTTCTTCTCCTCCGTCGCGTGGGGGTTGGCGCGTGCACTTAGACGTAGCACATCTTCAACGAAGCTGGTTACGCTTTCGTTGGGGGCTTGAATCCGAGTTTGGAGCTGGTCATGCGCCTTCTGTCACCGGTATTGGCTCGAGAAAGTCCATTTTAGTTCGGTGGTGCAGATGTCCCACGAAATGAGAGAAGCCTCTTGGTTCTCGAACCAGTGCCTAGCCGTGCCTTCCAGAGCGAAATAGAGGTTCTGGAGGCGTTGTTCAGCGTTCCATCCGTTGTAGCGGGCCACGCGCTCGTAGTGTAGGATCCAGTCCTCGACGTCCTCATAGATCTCGCCGTGGAAGGGTCTCGGCGTACGAGGGGCGACGGGCATATAAACGACGGGGGCGGCGGTCGGGGGTATGCGACGACTGGGGGTCCATTGTTGGCCTCGTCAACTGGTGAGTCTACTTCGGCAGTAGACCGAATTCCGGGGGCAACCGGCGGCTTCCTCGGGTCTCGGTAATACCTTCGTTGGATCTTTGTGGACTTGGCGTCGGACTTGCACTGCGGGCCCTCGGAGGGGTACGCTGCAGGGACATGCGTTACCCCGCACCTCCACCAGAAATGTCACAAATGAAGGTGACTAAAAGACCAACAGTAAACTTAGAATAAAGGTTTAATTGGCAAACTTCTGCCAAACAAAATAAGTAAAGAAAGAGCGTCGAGGCAGCAGAAAAGCGGGCGGCGATTTGGCGGCGTGACAGAGAGCGAGAGTGAGAATGACTCGACAAGGTCGCGGGTGGCTGCTTATCTAAAGTGCGTCCCTATCTCGAAAGTTCCGCAATGAAGGTTCGAGCGTCGCGCGCTCGGGGCGAGGATAAACTAGCACTTTCGAGAACAAGAAAGCAGGGGGAAAGTTATGTCTGGTGCGAGAATGAACGCGAATCTTCTAGAAGTTCGTGACCGAGCGCTGCTTCCTCGACCCTGCGGTCGGCAATATTTTGTTAAAATTATTTTCCCAATGATACCATGCCCACAAAATAAACACAAGATCCTACAGTGTCTCGCCCTTGAACGCGGTGAACCTATGGGTCGACCAGACTTCAATCCATACCACGATGATGATGATAGCGCGACAGTAACGCCACCTTTAGGTCGATCTCTATGTGAATAGTGAGACGAGAGATTGTTTTAGCAACTACGTCAAATCCTTTTGCTGGTAATAGTTTCATTTTTTTCTGTAAATACTTTCCTTAGAGTGAGATATATCAGGCTTCACGTGACATATTGTCGAAAACAAACAACGTACTTGTAACTATCGTAATAACAGAAACGGTCAACTTTGATTCAGTGTCTCTGAATTGTTGACTGTATAAGGCAGTAGAGTAGAAAGCAGGGCCGTGATTTCTCTCTCGATTTACTGCGTCTATATTGGTCGATTTTGTGCATGTGTTGATTTTGGCTTGTAAATCTGTTTCTCGAATAAATATATCCGTAAAGAACACCTGAGATGGCCGGTATCCTATTTTTGGTGTTTACCACCAGTCTAAGGGCCTTCCTGTAACACCTTTAAGTGTTAGCCCTGGGCCAAGCATATTTACAGCCTTAAAAGAGTATTCAGTCGTTTTCTTCTTGGTCAGAAGATTCGCCTTAAATTTTGCTAAGCACACAAACAAACATCTTAAAATGGTACCCCAAATGATAGGTCAAAATAATTTTTTTTCCGAGGCATTGAATTTGCCATTTTTGTCGTCACATCGTTTTTCAAACTGTAAGTGCCTACTGGCAACCATGAAAACGTAAAGCGAGGTGCAGGCAGGGGTTCATTCTTTGGAATGTAAGATTTGTTCCGAAGTGATTACAAGCAGTACCATGGTGTCAAAGGAATGCTTTGGAAGCCCACTCCAGACCCCGCGCAGCAGCACAAAACAAATGCTAGGCATTGTCTGTTTTTTTTTTAGTCTGCCAGCACGACTGCAAGCCTGCCACCCACTGACGTGAGTCACGGCTCTGCAGCGCGCCGGTATATTTGAATTTTGATTTTGGCATCATTCTTTTTTGCCGATTGCACAATAACGTTCCTGATTTTCTCCATACTAAATAGCATACCGGAAAGGAGAGTATAGTCAGTCGAGGTAGCTAAAAAAACTCGCCGAACTACCCACTCAAAGGGTATTTCCGGCAAAAAAAAAATGTATGGCCATCGATAGTTACAACCTTTTTACCGTGCACTAAATATACACTTTAGCCTAAGTAAGTATACAAAGTATATCATCAAACTAATCATTTTCTTTCGAGAAACTGAACTTTGAAGCTTACGCTTACGCCTCCAAATCGCTAGCTGCCGCTCTACTGGCAACAACAAGCAGGCGCGCACGTTACGTCAAGTGTTTTATCCGAGAGCAGACTAGGCTCCCTACTCCAACGGATTTTACGTTGTTGTGATACTGAGCGTCTGTGGTTTTCGCGCACGGCGTCTGGTTTAGGCTCCTTCTGGCATGCGATGCCAGAACTGGCGCGGAGAATTGGTGATGTCCTGAGTGGGGTGAAAGAACACGACGATAAAATGCAGCAGAGTGGCATCTTATCGGTTTCCGACCGAGAAGTTTCTACGATGGAAGTGGGTGCGAGCAGTCTGACGCGAACGCTGGCATCTAGCGTCCGCGCCGTGCTAGAAAACTCTTCGCACCATGCTAGCAGACGAAACCTTCTATATCGTGTTTCTCCTGAAGCCGCATCCAAATGTCGGCGGATCGCGAATGCAGCCGCCGTGGGTGGTCCCATCGGGGGCGATGCCAGCGGATCAAATGCGAACGGTGAATCGCCTGAAATCTCGTACTGAAAATCTTACAACGTCTGCTGGTCGTTGCTCGGCTAAGACAAGCTTGATGAATCGTAGTTCATTATTCCCCACAAACGATCGCGACGGCCTTTTGACTGCTTCCGGCGGTGGGCGAAACAGGCTCAAACTGCCCCTGTGCTGATGTCAATGTTACTAAAGTTTTGTGTCGACGTTAATGAAACATTTAGTTGGGAAACTCACCCTTGAAACCCGGACCACTCGCGTCCGCCGAGATTAAACTTAATACGATAACAGCGCCACCCTTTAGTGACTAGTCAAAACATGAAAGTTCATTTATTTTGCTACTGCGAAAGGGCACTGCGAGATGGCGCCACCCACCCTTGCGCGACTCAACCTTAACCGATTCGTGCAGACGTGCAGTTCCCGAAGTGGCCGCTACGGGAGAAATGGCGGCGTTGCGATCACTATTAGTTCGGTTCTCGATTACGGACCAAAGCCCCTTTTTCATAGCAGGCTCTAAGGCAGTTTACCAACTGAGTAGTTCTAGTAACGTTGGATGATGTTCATACAACATCTGATGTCACAAGAAGATGGTGGAGCGGTAAAGTTGCAGTTTAGTTGCTGTTTCGCTTTTATCCTTTAAAAGTTTAAAAGTTTTGGGGAAACTTACTTACCGCTCTATGCTTGATTTTGCGCGCTCTTTCAGAAACTATGTTTAGTTTGAAGCGTTCAAGTTGACGCCAGAGCCCCTTTAGGATACGATTTTTTGTAGTGTGCACTAATGTATTACCTATCGTTTTATAGCATCCAAAATATACACATATCGGAACAAACATACATACTTAAATCTCCGCAAAACTAACTTTTTCGGGAATTATTCCAATCTTTATAAATCTGCACATCATTTTTTTTTTTTTTGTGATTGAACCCCAAAATAAAGACTGGATCTATATTTCATTTCTTGGACATGCACGTCTCATTTGTTACGTCCACGTAATACGCTCAAGGCATGGTCATCATGCCAATCTCGCAAAGTTTTGACACAGACTGTGTTTAAGGCTTGGATCTCATGCGAAAAACGTTGCCTCGAACGTAACAAAATACCGTAGCATGCAACGCATGAACACACAAAGCATACGGGAGGCATACACTTATCATAATTATTTATACTTCATCATAACTGAACATGATTAATCGCAACTAGCAAGATTCACGAGATGGCACAGCGAGAATCGTTCACCAGATTGTGCGATCTTCAAAAAAAAACACCCTTACTCGGGACCACGAGGAAGAGGCGAACGGACGCACAAGAAGCTGCACTCGGTATGAGTCACGGGGGCCTGCGGTAGCAGGCGACCGTCAGCGCGTGCAACTGCCTACCTACCGTGAATGAGGCTCTCAATGTTGAAGATGCGTGCGAGCTCTTGGGCCACGACTTCCGGGGTGGCGTTTCCGCCGATGCCGATGGTCCTCACGCTCGACACGTTGAACTGCGACACCAGCGGGGACTGGGACACCGCCGCGGCGTACGTGGGCAGCAGGGGGAACAGGGTGGCCTGCGCACCGCGCCCTTTGTCACCTTCACACCATGAGGTGGCAGCTGTATACGTATCGTACTTTTCGAACTGTAGTCCGCAAACTGTACCCAAGTACCACAGTTCTTTGGTCAAAAAGTTTGTTTTTGTTTGGCAATTTAAAGCCCTGGAAGCCCGAAAAAAACCAAGGTGTCACCTAATTTTATAATCTTTGGCCCTAAACTGTCAAAGAAAATAGTGCCCCACTTAAGCTTCGCTGCCGTGTTGTTCGGTTATCAACTGAATTCTTTGGGCCTCTGTTACCAACACATGCCAGAATTTGGCTTCACTTCTGGTTGTTCAGTTTTCACCTGGCAACTTTGGGCCTAAATTTCAACACAAGTGCAAGAATTGGCCTTCCTTGCGGGTTGTTTGGGTTATGCGTATCATATTTATATCATATATGGCTTTTGGTAATTATGTGGGGAACAAGAGAAAAGCCAAAGAAAAGTACTTCGGCACTAACTAACGATTTGGAGAAAAACCTTGTTAGGAGCGAATTAGGCCCCTAGGACAGCCAAAGTTTAGCCAAGTTTGGCGCTTTTCTGGTATGCTGCCTTGGAACAGAGGGACGTTTTTTGTAAGATCGTTTATTACTACGAGAGATGTCGAATTTTGTGAAGTAAACCTTATAGTAATGCTGATTTTTGTACGAGGCATGCTTATTTCTGCGTTAATAAAGCAGGTATATATTAAAATATATTGTGTAACAAATTATATTAGTTACCTTTACGCACCTGGTGCGAACTGTGAATGAAGTGCCGATTGTCCATGGAAAAGCCTCTCTCTTTCGAAGAAATCTTTCCCTGCGGACTATAGCCCGAGAAATACACTTTCGAAATATTCATTTCATGTGTGACTGCATTCGAACTGCGGTGTTTGAAATAAGTTGACGGACAGGCTGTTTCGGAGAAAAATTCACCCTGTTTTGCTCCCTGTAAAATTAAGCTACACACATCCGAGACATCATGAGCTCAGTCTCCACCCAAATATAGCGCTATTGGCTCGGACCGTGAATGTGTCAGAGCTTGCCGGTATTTGGTTCTGAAATCATGAGGAAATTACGGAAATTTTTAATAAATAAAATGGGGCCCGTTTCGGGTAGCAAAAGTCATCCTTCTCCATGTTATCACGGACTTCGTTGGCCGTCATTTTTTTATTGAAAATTTACAAAAATCCCCTTTAACCTTTAAATCAGATCAAGGCACGTTCTGAAACTTAGTATCTGTTTGCAATCACTAACGCTACATTTGGATGGAGACTAAGCGTTAAGCGATACGTATTTGTTTTCGGTAAAAATCAAACAAGATTGCTTTTAAAAATGCGAAAGCATTTCTTTCGGCAGCCCACCTGGGAAAATTCTGCTCTGTAACACGAAACGCCTGCGCATTTGCGGAAGGGTAATAATCATAAAATTTGAAGAAAAAAAAAACTTAAAAAAATTTTCAGCTTTACATTTTGGTGAAGTGAGAAAGATCAGCGGAGCTGTACAATGGAAAGTATTGGCCGGCTGCAAATCGGCAAGACAGAATGGAAAGGCTGCCGCCATCTATGAGCGACGGCGGCAACCAGATACGTGGCTTGCCGCCGTCGCTCATAGATGGCGGTAGGTGTCCAGAGTTCGGTGTCTTCATTTCATTGCGGGGGACACGATCCTGGGGAAACTAGGCCTTAACAGCTCCGTTGTAAAATTCCGAACGTGTGCCCAAACCCCGGAACGCAAACTTTTGAACTCTACGCTCAACCGCTGTGCCTGCATTCAACCACTGCGCCGACGCTCAACCACTGTGCGTGAAGCGATAGTTACTAAATGAGACAATGTTCCTTTTGAGAATCGCCCCCTTCCTCCTTTTTCGTAAAATTATCATTTATAACCGACTTTTCAAAGATAAAAAGGCCGTAGTGCAAAGTTTTTAACGTCACCTAAGGAGGCAAACGGCTTCCTTTAGCGACCTGAAGTCAAGGGATGCCTTGACTTCAGGGCGAAGTCAAGGCATTCATGAGCACTTGACTGGGGGGATACCCTAAGCGTATTAACGAAACATTTTCTCCGATGAAGATTCTACATCGTGAGTAATAAGCATGCTTCATCCTCAAAACCTTTGAACTTAAAATGGTGAATGAAGTGGAAGGACAAACGATGCGGCACGGTACTACGTTGAGCTGTGTCTTTGCGAGATGCATGGAAAGACAGAATGTGCTTAGGTATGTCACTTACTCTATAATTTAGGCCTGCTCACACACGCAAGCACACACACACACAGACACACACAAACAAACAAACACCAAAGTGCTACCTCAGCGCTATTCGTCAGCGATAAAAACAGCACTTAGTTTACTGAAATAGCACTGACTTTGCGTTATGTGACAGTAATGCAGCGCCAATACAGCACAGCATTAGTGCTAGTTTACGTTAAAATCAGCGCAGAATAAGTACAGTATACTAGAATACTTGAAGTATTGTTGGGACTGGAGCGGCTCGGCAACGGGAGCTCGTGAGGGCGCGTGTATTGACAGTTTGTGGTGGCGCTGTAGTCGAGTTATCCGCAGAGCCATTTATTGAGAGAGTTTGGCCATACTAACACTGTAGCCATACATTGGTTTCAATAGGCGAGCATATCGGGGCCAACCACAGGCCGCGAAACAGCCCCTAGCGGTGGTCATGTGCTCTAAATATGTGACACGACTAATTTGAGCCGTTTTATAGCGTCGCTAGAGTGAAAAGGTTTAGCTCTCGATGACTGACAACTTTGTGCATGTGAGGTTTTAGTCACGCCAATATTCAAGTGTAGAATAAACGAACGTGCGCTCCAAACCAGGGCTACACCAGGGCCGACTTGCTAGAAACAGCGTCTCTGCTGAAACGGGGAAAGAAAGCACTGCCAAAGCCAGCGCACGAGCCGTGCGGGACTCCGCGTCTCAAGACGCTCGCGCGCCCCACACTTTGCACTGTTTTCTTTCAGCCAGTCTCGGGACGTTGTTCTAGCAAGCCAACATCAGCCGTGCATACAAAGGCATGGGCACGAGCGCATGGCTTTGGCAAGTGCCTCTTGTGCACAAGTTCTCGTGCAAACAAAAGCGTTTTGCTGAGCTAGGCTCACGCGCCTGTGCTTTTTTCTTCACTGCAGGCATTTGGAGCTGGAGTAGAAAGGCCGAGATTGAACGCTTCTATTTCACGCTTCAAATGTCGTTAGCAATATTGTGACGTCGCGGTCTCCTGATTGGTCAACGCTGTGTCACAAATTTAGTTTACACTCTAAGCGCGGGGGGAATATTCGGCGCTGGCGGCGGCCTTCGCTCCGCCTATTGGCCAAACTCTCCCAATACACGGCTCTGGTTATCCGGAAAGAATCGCGCAGACCGCCACGCTCGGCGGAAAATGCTTTGGAGTCGATGACGCTATTGCTTTTCTTCTTTTGTTTCTCTTTGAGCGATGCGCGCGTAGCCGACCACTATGTCATAGGTCCGTGTGTTCGATCTAAATCTGTTTTGAATCTTGTGTGTTCTGATTTTATGGATGGTGAACGCGTAAGGTTAGCGCCGAAATGCCGTCGGCGAAAAGACGACAGAACGCTTGCTGCACACCAGTGTTGCGGAATGGGCACCCTCATTCCATTCCAATTCCATTCCGGGGAAATAGAGTGTTCGATAATTCAATTCCTTTCAACTCCTAGGAATGGGGACACTGGGCCCATTCCAACTCCTGGAATGGCTGAATCGTTCCATTCCATTCCTCTAATTCCTAAACGTAAAAGTTGGCACTTGACAGCTACATTGTGTTGCCGGCATAAGCACCGTAAAGCTGATATTATCAAACGCATAGACAATTGCAATAAAATGCAAAATGCCTCAAAAAAGCACTGATTTTACTAAGCGGAGCGCTGTTGGCACAAACTGTTTGTTTACATTCTATACAAACATCGAGAAAGCCCCTTGATAAGTCGATGCTTGTATAAAACGTCGGTCTTTCGACCACGTGGCTCGCAAAAAACAGCAAAGCTTAAATCCACAAATATTTTTGGCAAAATTTTTTCTATTTGTCTTTTGGACATACGCGGCGAGCGTGTTTGTTTGATAAGACCATAAAAAATGTCCAGTTCGTGCGTGGCGCAGAAATAAGCTAGATTACTGTATTCTTCAAATACCTGCACAGCAAAACGGCTAGCACGCTTCTGTAGGCAACTCCATGTAGAGTGGCAAGAACACATCCCCTGACAAGGTGCAACCTAGCTACGGCAAAGCACGAGAGACTGTATATACATGTCACGAAACTGTCTTTCTGCAGGTCTAGTCAGTTCGGTCACGCGACAAGAGCGGTGGTGACAATCTACTTCACCTTACGATGGACCGCAACAGACAGCAAGAGAGCCATCGAAACCAATCCAGTGCATACCTTCTGTTCTTAGTGTCACATGACCCTGGGGCGCAGTAACGCGCCGTGCGTGTAGTCCCCCTCACGGTGCTGGATTGCCTGGGGTGACTCGTAGCGTCCGCAGCGGTCCATAACAAGGTGAAACACAGTAGTCAGAGACTAAAGTCAAAGGAAATGAGCGGGAATCCGCTAGCTTGCTTGTAACCCTAACCCACCTGAATGTAAAACATATAACACAGAAAACAAGCATCGGAACAAAGACCAAGTAAAAGGCGGACTTACACGTAAAAATGCAGTATAAAAAGACAAGCGTCGGAGCAAAGTGCAAGAGGAGAAGAGAAAAGTGAATCTCGCTTTGTTTTAATGCCGAGGCAAACCCAGATTTCGCACTTCAAAGGAGTGCGCGCGAATGAACGTGGAAGGCAACAGGCCGCCTGCTAAACAACGCGCCTTGAACTATGAGAAAACAATAAGTGATCACCTTTCGGCGGCGCGCGAGTCAACGAGTTGTCAGAGCTCAGCGAGGTATGAGTCGTCCCCCGCTCCCAGACCTCAGTCTGTGCGCGGGTGTATTCTCCATGCCTTCGTTTCTTTCGCTTGGTGCTTAATTTCATCTTTCGCTCGCTCTCGTGTAACGCCAGTAAAGCCCGTCGCCTGCGCGAAAAGCGCCACCGCCAGCCCCACCCCCCTCCCCCTCCCTCCCCCTCTGCTCGTTGCTTTGACGCTTCTTTTTTGCATTGCATTTTTTTGGGTATAAGTCTGTTAGAGCTCCAAGCGGGTTAGCTGTTTTCCTCCCGCTCATTTTATTTCTGAGAAGCTGGCTGGCTGACTGGCTCAAGTTCACTCACCGTAAACACTAAAAAAAAAATAATAATAAAAAAAAAATATAAGAACCGTGCCTATTCCATTCCCATTCCATTCCGGGCAAAAGGCATCTAATTCCATTCCCATTCCATTCCCCTCAACGCTGCCGCCATTCCATTCCCATTCCATTCCGGGGTCGCGAAAATTCAGAATGATTCCGGAATCATTCCAACTCCGGAGTGGCAACTCCGCAACACTGCTGCACACCTGGTTGCCAAATGGGCTACATCCGAGTGAAAAGCGTGTAAATGGCGTCCCTTTTCGTAGTTCTAAAGTACAGTGCCACAAGAGATCTTTGGCAAAAGAATCTGCAAGAATCGGACAAGCGTCTTGAAGAACCAAGCCTGCGAGCGGCACTTCAAGTCCCGCTTCATTCGTCGAGACGACGTCCGCATAATCGGCGGAAAGGAAGTCAGGATTCCTTGTGGACACCCAGCGCTCACGCCAGACGCGGTGCCGACTCTGCTGCCAAGTGTACCCAAGGACCTCAGTGGTGACCCTCCCGCAGGACTAGAGGAAAGGAAGCGGAAGGCAAGTCCACCAGAGCCCACCGTTGTAAAGCGTTCGGGGCTCGCTCGGAAAACGGACCCGGGTGAACAGCGAAGCTCCTGCCGTTATTCCACAAGGCATCGATCGCGACGCACTAGGCTCCCTGAATATGCCAACTTCCTGCTGGGCTGTTCACAAGTTAAGCAAACTTCGACAGTGTTGCTTATTTGGAGACTCCTCTTCAGCCGAAGTCTAACAATATCAGAATCGAAAGGGTGGTGTTCATTCGTTTGGACAACTTCCCTGATGACGTACGCCAAGTATACATTCAGGGCCATGTATGCGCTGCACATTGTAACCATGTACGCGCTGCACATTGTAACCACGTATTTCAATGGCTTGCTGTAAACTGTTACAACTTTTACCTTGCCTTAATTACGTGTGTTGTGGTTTCCTGCTCTAAATGATGTGAAATAGTTGCTTGTTTTCTTCTTTGAATCTTATCACTCATAACTTTTTCAGCCCACGCTGTCTCAGTTTTTGGACGTAAGCTCAATGTTAAAACGCGTGATAAAATTCTTACAAGTGAACGTCGGGTGGTCCTCAGATTGTCGTGGCAGCAATGAAGAAATATAAGAATCTCCCCTCTTTGCGACCGTTGCTTGGGTGGTTTGTCGCATTAATGAACACAAGAAGGAGTGACAAGTGAAGCGAGCTAATTAAGGTCAAGAAGAAGAAGAAGACAGGCAAAAAAGAAGACACAAAAGTTAACCTGGGGTACATAAAAACATACTAAAACAATCTCTGGTTTGATTATGTGCCTTTTCGTTCCACCAGAGAATAAAATAGCAAAAAAAAAAAAAACTGCTTCCGAGTTTTACATTTTTTTTGCCAAAGATCTAATATTTGGCCTTTTGCAACCAAGGAAATGGGAATTTTATTTAAAATGCTCACCACCCAACGAACCGAAAGTTGCAGCTAATACTACGCTAAAACAACTTGCAATTCGCTTATTTATAGTCTCAGTTCTATTTATGTCGAGGCAGAGTAATGGAGCATGTACCGTCCAATATATTAAAGCATCATGTTGCGAACAGTCGTGCCGCAGCGTAATTGATGCCGAGGTACGACCGCTGGCAGGTTGTTGCTCTATCAGAAATCTTATGTGCACTCTACCAAAGCGGCACCAAAAATTCATATTTTCGTGCCTGCAGTAGCGCATGTGGACACCTTCTGGGTAATGCGCCGGTGTCGACACCTGTCGCAATCAATCCACGCGCCTCAGGCGAACCGCTCCCGTCCCAACACTACCAAAGCATTCTAGTAAACTGTAGCATAAGTGCAGCTCCTACTGTTCATTAAACGCTGGAAAAAAATTGGGAACCGGCCTCTTAACGCCGATTGCTTTGTGTTAAAACGGAGGTTCGGGCGAGTTGGTTGTTCATGACTGACATGACAGGTGCGCTGTTTCCTTGTCAGTCATGCTTTGTGTTGCTGCACATTCCGAAGACAAAGGAGAAGGCGATGTTATGGTAGTAGACGGCTTCAAGTAAATTGTGTAGTAAACAGATTGCCGAATACATACCCCGTGACTGACTTTGTGTCTTCTCTTAGAACAAAGCACGCTATAATTCGTTGCCACGATTACGGCACATCTTTAGAAGGTACAGAAGTAAAGAGACAAAAGAAGTTAATAAACGACGCATCTTTCAAGACCCCTTCCAACATTGCGCTTCACGTCGGGGGCTATGATTTCCCTCCACAATGACGAATTCAGGAGAGACGTCTAAAGTTACTGAACACTTTAAATGTTACTAATTCTACTTCATCGTCATCTTATGTAGCATCAAAAGTTCACTTAGCGTGGTGTCAGTTGGCTCGCCATTATGCGGTGGTTCAGACTTGCTAGCAATCCCTACGTGACTTTAAAAGGGGTTTCGAAGCACCGCAGAAACAGAGCCTTGTTTTGTTTTTTTTCGTGTTATCTACCAACATTGCATGTTTTTTCCCATGTTATCTACCAACATTGCATTTTCTTTATGGAAAGATTTAAAAAAATGTACGGCGACTTTCATCTTGGCAGTCCTAAACTGTCATGGATAAAAAGGATAGACAAACGTAGAACTAAAAAAAAGGTTGAATCGGCGAATTTGTGCCAGAAACAAAAGAAAGAATTAGCCTCGAGAAAGCAGAAGCGAGCGTCGTAGTGTCGGCGTGACAGCTGGCTGGGCTCCTTATCTACTACACGGTATCTAGAACTTTCTACCTTGAATGTTCAAGCGTCGAGTTAGAGCAAAACTGACTCGACTTGGCCTCCTCATCTATCACACTCAGTATCCACAACATTCGGCCTATAGAATGTTCGAGTGCCGAACAATTGGGGTACGAGTAAACGCGTATCTTCTAGAAGTATGTAGTAGCGTACGCGGCAATATAATGCACGAAATGCAAGATTTATGGTGCGATCATTTAATATAGTTTAGAAGATATTAAACATATGTTACCGCGGATGAACGCGATATATTTTTATTATTTTCCCCACTTAGGGAGGAAACTTTGTTAGTACATCAGAAACCCGTCCTTAGTTTTCCGGCTAAATTTAGCGGGGGGATAAAATTGGTGTTTATGGTCACGTGACGCCAGTCTTCCCGCTAAATCTAGCGGAAAATGCACGGACGGACGGTAGGATAACATTTTGGAATTGGGAAATTCCTCTAAAAGAATTTTAAGCCTTATTAAAATATTACTCTTGCACTCTCAAAAAAGGGTGCAGCCTTATGCCCTTTTGTCACATATAATACATACAAAATTTAAGTTAGACGTATAGTGCACTGATGTCGAACAGACGGCCTTAACTTTTACGAGGGGCTTCATAACGGTGTGATATAAATTATTAAAAAGCCAAAGTGCGTATCGAAGACTACAGAAAAATATATAGAGGGGTTGCAGTGAAGCAAAAAAAAAACGATTACCGTATTTACTCGAGTAATAGCCGCACTGCTTATGAAGAAAACCTGAGGGTTTGGTTTGCCGCGGAGCACGCAGATTGCCAATCACCGCGATCGATAGTATGACTTTAGCTTATTACAAGACAGAGACAATGTATTCGGGCGAAGATGCCATCTGTGAAGATTGCATTTGTATGGAGAATCGCGTTCTCAATCTGGTTATTCGCTATGTTATTTATGCGCAACGCAATGATTGGCTGTTTATGTGTTATGTGGGAAAGCAGACGGAAGGGCCTTGTTCATAAATAGTGCGGCTATTACTCGAGTAAATACGGTATTATTTTTTTTTTATTCCGTAAAACGCACATTGGTGATTTCAATAAGTTGTACCACAGGGCTCTCAAGCCGCTCGTGAAAGTTGGTACCGTTGGTTCAATGTCGGTGGGGTGTATTATAAGAGACAAGAAGTGTAAGTCTATTCCCTTTTTTCTGGGAGTGTATATTTTAATCCGAGCAATAAGCTTGGCCCCTTGAGAGTGTCGCCTCACCTGGTACCTCTGAATGCCCGCGAGCAGCAGGTCCAACTTGAATCCTGGAAAAAGGAGTGCGGTGGCCCCCTGGGCGAGGGCCACCAGGCAGAAGAAGACGCCCGACAGGTGCGTGCTGGGCAGCCACAGTACGATCACGTCCGTGTAGTTGCACATGTTTTCGCCCTCGGTCCTGCAGCCGCAAAAGGGGGAGGTCACAGTGCCGGCCCAGAAGCAACTCGCGTGTTAAGGTTAAAGTTAAAGTTAAGGACGTACACTAAGCGTTTGTTCCCAAGACTAAGGGCCGGTTGCACCAATGCCGCTTACCTTAACCCAAAGCGGCACTTTCCTAAGCCGGCTTAGCGCCCTAAACCGAGCTCAGGTAAGCACGTGTTTAAATTCCGGTTGCACCAACGTTAAGCCGGCTTTACAGACGCGCCCCTAGCTAAACGCTGGATTTGCGTAGGGAATCTGGGGACAAACAGAGCGAACTAGGGAACGCTCAGAGGGACGAATACGATTGGCGGAGAGGAATCACGTGATGTAAACAAACAAACAAACAAAAAAAACTGCTGTAGTAATCGTCGTTGGCGTCTGCTTTTCGCTGTATTTCTTCGGTGAGTAACAAATTAAAAGTCTCCAAATTCAATCATTTTTTCCTTTAACTTTCAATAACAGAAGTAAAAACTTCAAATAAACACGAATGCTCTTTACATCTGTGATTGTGTGTTTAATATCGGTTGATAGCAGGATATTTTGACAGTGGTAGTAGTTTTCGTGCTCACATTTTGAGGTGAAGGAGCCATCGGGAGCCTCAAATCTCACCGAACGCGAGAAGGTCACTCTACTCGCTACATCGCTGAAGACAAAACATCATCGATATAAGTAGGCAGGTAAGATGACTACTAAAATCAAGTCAAGCCTGAGACCGATGAAGTTCAAAACAGTGACGAACTCGCCACGGCAGCTGCGAAAATGCCCGGAAATCGTCGAATAGAAGTCGTCGAGAGGTCAGGTCACGAGACCTTGCATCGACGGTACTCGTTGCTATCAGCAAGGTGACAGAACTGCACTGTACCGTCGTTGGACATCCGCTGCAGCCTCAAACGGACTTCAGTTTCACACTGTCGAGTTCAGAAAAAAAAAAAAAAAAAAAAAACTCCCACTAGTACATCACATCGTGCCGATAGGAACAGTCGTCTCTTCGCATCGCCTGCCCCAGCCTGCCCCGATACAGCAATGAACGAATCTAGCATAGTAGTCGTTACGATTTGTCGTCGCCACGAATGAAAGATATAAAGCAAAATATTCCTAAAAAATTGCGATCACCAAAAAAGTTACGGTTATGGAACGATACAGTTTTCTGAAGTCAAGATTCTACTCGCGAGATTAGGAAAATTCATTGAAGATTGTCTCAAAGCTCAGAAAACGAAAGAAATTGAATTTTCGTTGTTTTATTACTTAAAAGCGCCGCAATCTAATGCGAACGGCAGAGGTGTCGACAATCAGTTGATCGCCGAGATCATGTACTGCCACTATTCAACGCGCTGATCTAATTGAAGGATACGTGCTGCAAGTGTAAATAAACAAGGTGGTAAATAACAATACGTTACGGTTATGCGAAAATTAGTAAGTACATACGAATAAGCTCGTTGACAGAAGAACCAACGGGAAGACAGACGTGAACCCCACAGCTCCGTACGTATCTCGGTTAGGGCTAACACGCCCTGAGAGTGGAGAGCCGACTTGAAAACAGGGGTCGATAAACACTTCACGCGACAATATTTTGCATCCTTGTCACAATCGAAGGTCATTTTGTCGAAACTTTCCCGCTGATGTAGCCTAAAACACTTTGCACAACCAATTTCGTCCACCGCGTCGACCGCGACAAACCAGCCGCCATGTTTTAAATCCAGGATTAAGAAACAACCAAAAGCAAAGCGCCCAATGTTGAGCGCTTAAGTTAAGCGTAGTTTAGTGCCAGGTTTAGCGATGAGCGATTTTGGTGCAACCGAACGAAACCGAAACTTAGCTTAGGTTCCCCGCTAAGCTCCGCTTTGCGCTAAGCGGCGTTGGTGCAACCGGCCCTAAGTGTCGTTTGAGCTACTGTACGGAGAGGAACTGAGGGGGAGGAGGAAATTAGAGCGCGCAAGGATGTCGATGCACCGGGCTTTAATTGGACAAATTAGTGGGTAAACGCAAATGCTAGCTGTTTTTGTTTATACGTACTCTTCTCCTCCGATCGGATCGAACAAGAGCGTCACGTTGGTCAATACCTCAGCTTGGGCATGTTGGTGAATCACGCTAACGCTTCACAGTGCACAAATGACCCATATGAGCTTCAAAAAGCAAATATCTCGATTGGTTTCAGATATCTCGATTGGCTTTTGTCGTTATATCTCGATTGGTTTCAAATATCTCTATTGGCTTTTGTCGTTATATCTCGATTGGTTTCAAATATCTCGATTGACATTTGTCGTTACTAATTTAAGTCTCTGAATGCTTACTTAGAGAGGTCAAGCAAGAAGAAGCAACTCACCGCAGAAAAAGAGAACGCATCACAAGGCCTGTCATAGTGCCTTATATTCACTACCCGTCGCACAAGCGTAAGAAAGCAGCCGATAGGGTCAACATCGACGTGGTCTTCTCTGCTCCGCAAGACCTTTCCAGCCTATGCAAGCGGGTGAATGGCCATCTATTCTACCAGTGTGCTGCAACTAAAATCACAAGACCAAGTTCCTTTCCTGTGCAGACAGTGTGATTTACCCATTCTATCTTAGCTGTGGGAAGCGTTACGTTGGGCAGGTAGGTCACTTTCTTAATGAAAAACTTCTAGAACATAACAACAACGTTATTCATGCTAACTCAGGTCCCCTGGGGCTGGGCATTCATTGCAGAGATTGTGAATGCTCCCCCCTTCAAAACAATTGCACGGTACTGGGACGAAGCAAGAAAAAACTGACTAGAGAAATTACCAAAGCCGCGAGCATGTGTATGCTAAATGGATTATATGTTAGTGCCCCGTTGGTTACCTTATCCCAAAAAGAGTTGGATCATTTAGGAAAACCTCCGTATTGTCTTTTACTGTATTCAGAATTCCTTGGTAAATTTAATTTTTATTCTTCTTCCTGGTGCGTCAGAGTAAAAGATAACGAAGATTGTATTTAATATATCCCAGAGTTGACGGTCAGCGCTGCGTGAACGCACTATAATTTTTATAGTGTGTTGTTTTTGTGCGCTAAGAAGTGTGAACAAGAGCGTCGCCTGCTTTTCGCGGTGGGTCTATAACAGGGGTGGCCAAGCTGCGGCTCGCGAGCCGCATGCGGCTCTTCGCGTGGTAAAGTGCGGTTCGCGGCTCCCTCCCCCCCCTCCCCCCCCTCCCCCCTCCCCCGCCTCCCTCCCTGTCACACGAGCACTTTCCCAAAAAGAGAAATGGAATGCGTTTTAAATCAAAAGACAGGTTGCGGTTTGGTAGTCTTGTGCTACTGCTACCTTACGTACACTAGGACTGCTTTTGACTCAGATAGATTGAAGTTTCGTTTACTGCCCTGAAAATCCCCCCCCCCCCCCCCCCCCGTGGCTCTTGGAAGTTTCGTGGCTTAGGCAGGGCCATCCTGGCTACCCCTGGTCTATAGAGTTCGAATGCCGGACTCGGGTGTTCGGCGTTGAAACGCGTTTGACCAGTGAATAGAGACGAATGCAGCTAGCTTTTCCGCAGGGATGGGCAGTATTTCAAATACAAGTATTTGAAATACGTGTTTTATATACTTTGTGTATTTTGCAATTGTATTTAATTACCAATTGAATAATGTATTTGACATGTGTATTTAAATACTTAAACGTGGGTATTTCAAATACAATTGTAATTAAATACAATTTTGTGGGCAAAAATAATCCGCCTCAAATTTATTTTCACTGTCCAGAGCAGGAAGAAAACTACGTTCTGCACCGAATGCAGTGTCTCTCAATCAAGCACAAGTGTTTAGTGACTTTGTGATTACGGTGCTAGTCCAGGGCAAGAATAGTGACGAAATCGACGTTCACAGGCAGACTGGCTAAATAAGTGCCTGTGACAACTTGTGATGCTTTCCAGCCTGATTTCCATCCATATTTTTGCCTGGAACATTCTAAATGCGCGGGTCGTCCAGATTTTCGTAACTGGTGCGAGTTGCAACAATAAAAAATTCCCTAGCTAGTGCTGCGCGTCTTGGTCATCTCGGTTCTTTGTTGGTCTCTACCAAAATGTAATCCACAAAAAAAACTGCTTGAAGCTCTGTACTTTTTTCACCGATTACGTCCAAGCTGAATACATTTTTTTTTGTGATTATATTTTTATTACGTTACTAGAGCCTCACATACTAACTGCCGAGTGTGCGATGCAAAATTAAAATGAGATACCCAGAAACCCGTTGCAGGTGCCCTGAAGTCGCTGACTGACGCAAATTTTGAGGAATGTATTTGGAAAAGTATTTGGAGGAGACCAAATACATTTGGTTGTATTTGTATCTTGTATTTAAATGCTTTTTTGGACATGTAATTAGATTTGTAATTAAATAAGTTTTTGATAAAGTATTTTGTATTTGTATTTCGATGCATATTTGCATGTATTTTGCCCATGCCTGCTTTTCCGTCTATCTACTAATCGATCCCCTCCGAGCTCGGAACTCTGGCATTCCCACACGCTCTCATTTTCTCCTCTTCCTCGATTTCTCTCCGCCTAGCCAATGACAAGGTGAGAACGCCAGGGGTTCTCCTTCGAACGCCGGGCTTCGAGCACGCGCCTGTTGCCTTTCGCCATGATTTGGTTGCGCGTGTAAGCGCGAGGCTCACGAGACGCCAAAACGCTACCAAAGGTAGAAAGCTTGCGCAGGGTGTGGGACAACAGAAGAATCTTCATGTCTTTCTCATCCATGGCTTCCTTCTTTTCTAAAACGCCTGCCAACAGACCGATGACACCAGCCAGTTTGGGTATATGCCACCGCTGCCACAATGTATTCGGCGAACTTCACTCTTTCTGCACGTGCGACAACCTCACTGGAGCACTGCGCATATGCAGCACGAGACGGCACGAGTCATCTCGGGCGCTACCGCTTGCCTCCTGCGAACTAAAGTTAAGGCGGCTTCGCGCATGCGCCGAACGCATAGTAAGGTGGATACATAGAGAGTATTCACTGGACACCATATTTGTGGGTG